ATCCAGTTTTTCAACGACGTAGTTTGTAACGGGTGAACCACCATCGTCTAGTGGAGGTTTCCAAGACAACGTACAAGTTTCAGGAGTGATGTCAGAAATGTCAAGTGGTCCTTGTGGTGGAGACGGTTTGTCTATGAACATAATTATTCGTTATTTGATCATTTCTTGATTAGTAAGCTTTTTAGCATAGTGCTTAAGTTCAAAATAAGTAAACGAAAGTGCAATTGTACCGTACACATTTCGGACGACCAATTTCGATTCTATACTACTAGTTGTCCGAATATGTATTCACATAACTACGGTCAAACTATCACAAGATTTTTCTACTTTTGCTTGGTACTATAATAATATTGATGCTATCAAAAAATTGTACATGATCCTTTAATTTTCCTCAACAATAAACGTAACTGTGCAATTTTAAGCAAATGCTTACCGACGACGAGAACCCTGCACGAAGCAGAATCTGTGCCAACGGTGTTCGTAAGATAGATCGTGTATGTTCCTGTATCAGATCTTTTGGCCTTCTTGTTGATGAATTGCGAGGCGATGTCCGTCGTGTCGAATTTGATTCTATCGCCTGTAAGCACTTCCTCGCCGTTGATGGACCAGCTTGGCCTTGGTTTTGGATTCGCCGTGAAAGGAACGGTTATCGTGAATGGTTCTCCGGCAATCACCGTCATGTCACGGATGCTGAGGTCAGACGTGATCCTTGGCGGGACTGAAACGAATTCGAGTAAAGTCATAATTACAATTTTTGTACACTTGGTATTATAATAATTTATACATTCTTATTTTTTTTCAAAATGATTATCTTTTATTTACAAATAAATTATACTTCAATAAAACGCTCTGAATACTTACATGGTGCTGCACTGGCTCTGATCACGTCAGAGTTGGAACTCCATGGTCCTTTTCCAGCTGCATTTTCTGCGGCTACGCGGAACTCGTAGTCATAATTCTCTATCAGACCAGTCACTCTGTAAAATTTCAAATGCATCAATCCATGCACTTTAATTTCTATTTAAATATTTTTAATCGATTCATCAAATACTTATAATGATGTAATCTTAATCAATCGAAAATGTTAAACAAGAATTACCTATAAGTAGTGTCATGAACGAGAGATGGAGTAGCTTTCGTCCATTTGTCTTCGCTCAGTAGACGTTTCTCAACAGTGTATCCAAGGATAGGTGAACCTCCATCGTGTCGAGGCTTGGTCCAAGTAATGGTAATGCTATCCTCTGACGTTTCAACGCTTCTTGGAGTTCCAGGTGCTCCAGGTGGATCGAATGGATGCCTGGCCTTGATCGGGTCTATCGTGGTCACAGGATCCGAAGTACCGTATTGATTTTCAGCCATCACTCGGAATTCGTATACGCTTCCGACTGTTAGATTTCTTACTCGGCAGAATGGTGTCGTCACGTAGCTGCTCACCTGTTATTAGAAAATCAGAAGTTAATACTTAAGAGAAGATCTCTCAAGGAAGGAAGGAAGGAAGGAACACATCGGATTTGGACTTTTTAAATTTTTATATATTCTTACATCACATATTTATATATTTCATAGATATTTTTGTATTAATTGCGAAACTATTCTGAAAGGATTTTTCCGAATTTGTGTGGATTTATGCGACTAACGGAGTTATTGAAAATCGAAAACAAGAATTTATGGTCAATTTCAATAATTTCCACTTTAAAAGATGACGAATACTGTTGAAAAATAAATGAACAGATGTAGAAAAAGTTTTTTTAAATTTCTTTAGTAATAAATCTTGTGCTAAAACTAAAAGAAGTAGTGCTTTGAACTACAGACCTTAGACCACGATCCCTTTGGTTCTCGTCTCTCAACGACATAATTCGTGATATCGGCGCCTCCATTGTCTTTCGGTGGATTCCAGAATAGTGTAAGAGCATCTCCGCCAAATTCATCAGCATGTAGATTTTGAGGTGGATATGGACGATCTAGCACCTTAACGTTCACGGTGGCGGTGTCGAAACCGGAAGAATTGCGCAACTGAAGACGATACTGTCCACCGTCCGAACGTTTCGCATTCTTTACCACAAGACTGTGGAAAAAATTATTTGTTTCTTAGTACGGTGTGTTTTAATTATCAATAATGATTCTAATGATATAGTTGTATATTATTGCTATTACTTTTATATACTTTTAAATGCATTTCTTTAAATCTCAAGTACTGAGATTGGGATATATATTTTTAAACCAATAACAGTATAAATAATAATATTAATATTAATAATAAGCAATCTACTTACAACATTCATTGTTACTCCATTGCCACAATTAAACGGTGCAGTTATAAATGATATTTTATAATATTTACAAATTATTATTATTTTTTATTCTTATAACTACACTGCGGATTTTTATTGAAAATTAAAAGAGTAGGATACTTTTAAAGATGATTCGATTTTTCAAGTATTTACATTTTCTTTGTACTGCCCAATGCATTTATACGAAATTTTGAAGTGCAACTATGAATTTGAATGACGATCCGCAGTTTACTTACAGTTACACGAGTTCAATAATTCGCAAACATACCTGGCATAGTCGTCACCCAATTGTTGATGTACACGTGGATCAGTCTCATCCTTGACAACATCGTTAGCAAACCACGTGGCAGCGGGCTTGGGGAAACCAATATATGGCACGTGGATGGAGAAGTCTTCACCAGCACGGACAGTGATGTCGCGAACTCCTCCGAGATCCATGACAGGTTTGTTCGGTTGTTCCTCGATAACGATCGGATTACTTGGTTTACTTGGATCGCTTCTTCCGACATCATTCACTGCGATCACTCTGAACAGGTATTCTTCTCCTTCGTTGAGCTTCGGAACTGTGTACACGTTGGTTGGTATTGGAGCACCGTTAACGTCGTCCCATTCGTCCTGGCCTCTCTGCTTTATTTGGACGAAATACCCTCTGATCTTAGCACCACCGTCGCTGCGTGGTGGTCGCCAGCTCAGTGTGACGGCATCTTTCGTTATTCTGTCTGGTTTCGGTGGTTCGGGGGCATCAGGACGCACTGGAGATAAAATGATTGATTATTTTGATAATTCATTCAAAGTGTTAAGAGGATAGCGAAGATAAAATGAGAGAAGAGCGTAGGAATATAAAAATATTAGTTTTCATTAGTGTATAGATAGTGTAATTTTTGTGCTACTATTACATATGAACAGAAAGTAGCTTTATAGTAAATTGTAAATTATACTTTAAAGTAGTATGATATTATTGAATATAAAATATAAAAGCTTCATAAAACTGAAGATTTAAAATATATCGTGTTCTCAATTGTAATGTAGTGACAAAAAGCAGAATAATGAATTGATAGCGATATTAGAGTCATATTATGTTTCATTGCACTTACAACGCTGATGTCCAGCAGTGATAGGCTCAGTTGGTTTACTGGGTTTACCAGATCCAGCTTCGTTAACAGCAATGACTCTGAATTCATATTTAGATCCTTCGTGGAGATCTTGCACCGTGAATGTTGTGTTCGGAGTCGGATAGTTGTTGACTTTGAGCCATTCGCCACCACGTTCCCGCCTTTCGACGTAATATCCTGTAAACGAGAGAATCGGTCGATGAATTGACATAATTTTCAGTAAAGAACGTGATTTAATTAGAAGAGCTTCATCCTTTATTTAGAAGAAAGAAAGAAAGAAAATCTATATGCTATTCACAGACTGATTCACAAACAATGCCTTCTTGCTGGCTGGGAAAAAAATATTAGAGGAAAAAGATGAGAAGATACTGCCGATCATATTCTTTTCTTTGCACTTTGCAGTTGCACTATTTCTTTAAATAGAAGTATTTGTCTTGCATCATACAAATAAAATATTTATTTACTACGAGTCATTATTTCTTTTAAAATCTTAACATCCTACCATTTCTTATCAATTCATAAAATTCATGTACTTATGAAGAAAAAAAGAAAAAAAAGGAGAAAGTAATATCTCACCAGTAATAGGTTTGCCACCAGTATTAAGCGGTGCATTCCAGAAAAGACTGCAACTATTGGGAGTGTATCCAAGGATTTCGGGTTGACTAGGTGCATCTGGTGGATCGTATGGACTTTTGGCGATGACGGGTTTGCCTTCCAATGGTTCAGACACACCATACATATTTTCAGCTCGTACTCTGAATACATATTTCTTGCCCTCGGTGAGACCTTTGGCAGTGTAGCTCGTTCTTGGACAGTATCCTGGTGTTTGACGCCAGTTATCAGCTCCGAACTCTGATACTTCGACGATGTAGTTGGTGATGTCGGATCCACCATCGTCCAGAGGTTTATTCCAAGACAAGGATACAGAATCTTGCGTGGTACCAGTGTATTGCAGGGGACCTTGAGGTGGACCTGGCCTATCGACCACGACAACCTCGATGTCGGCTGAATCCTTTCCATGCTCGTTCGTCGCTGTGACTGTGTAAATGCCGCCATCTTCTCGAACGGACTTTTCGACCAACAAGTTCGTGCGGTCGCTCTTGGTTTCGGTCTGAAAGTTATTTAGAAGTTAGCCAAAGCCGAAATAATCGTTGATATATTTATTTGTTGTAAGAATAATATTTATTACTGTTTTCGTGAAAAATTAAATGTTCTTAGAATCACTGTACTGTATTTTATGTGTAAATTAATTCTTAGATCTTGGAGACACAGGTAACTATAGTAATTTATACTAGACATTTAATTTTATTTTGTATTTTATATTTTCTCTGATAAATATTAATAAATAAAATCGTATGATATAAAAGCCTAAAGCAAATGAAATATTTTTGATAAAATATTCTACTCCTTGTCCCTCGATAACTATAAATATTATGCGAAACTATAAATTAAGTTCAAATAAAGATCTTCACAGATAAAAGATGAAGGTCCTATTCCATTGTAAAAGTAATTGCAAACAATATACAACGAATACAATGTTCGTGTATGAACAGACATCAGAGTTTGCTTACCGATATTCGAAGAGTTTCTAAAAGAGGCCTCGCGTCCTTGGTCCATTCGATAGTGGGAGTTGGCGCACCCGACAATGGAATGTTAACATTGATCGGTTCTCCGGCGCGAACCTTGATCTTTCGTCCAATCAGCGCGTCCAGGTTCAATTTCGGTTTCTCTTTCATTGGTTTCGCGATAAATACAGCGGATGTGTCGCTAGCTTTGCCCGCGCCAGCTGCATTTATTGCAGTGACTCGGTATTCGTATTGGTGTCCCTCGGTTACGTGATCGTCGTAATATTCAGTACTTTTCACTGGTTCTTTAGTTAACTTCAACCAACGGCCAGTTGCACGATCACGTCGTTCCACGTCGTAACCGATGATCTTTGATCCACCGTTGCTGATTGGCGCTGCCCATCTGATCTTGATGTGGTCTTTGTCCGCGTCGACGCATTCTGGTTTGCCAGGCTGTCCAGGTGCAACTGAATGAAACAGAGAACATGTTAGTTGACTTTAAGTATTCGTAGACATCTAGTATCCTTTTATTACATAATAAAAGGATAATATATATAATACAATATAAGCAAATTGATAGTTTATAACGTATGTATAGCTGTCACGCATCGAATTAACTTGTATGTTAAGTCTCATTTGAGAATTTTAGTTACATATGTAACTTTTAAATTACGTGATATCAAAGAGGGTTAAATAAAATTTCCCCCAGCGTTTAATATATACTGTCTGTATGTAGCTTAATGTATTCAATTGTCAATTACTTTCAGTACGTCTTTATGGAAAATATTTTTTACATTAAATTGGTAAAAATATAAATAGAATGGAATGGATATTGTAGTAATATATATATATA